GAGGAAGAAGAAGAAGAAGAAGAAGAAGAAGAATAAGAAGAAGAAAAAGAAGAAGAAGACGAATAAGAAGAAGAAGAAGAATAAGAAGAAGAAGAAGAGGAGGAGGAGGAGGAGGAGGAGGAGGAGGAGGAGGGGGAGCAGGAGGAGGGGGAGGAGGAGGAGAAGGAGCAGCAGGAGCAGGAACAGGAGCAGGAGGAACAGGAATTGTAGGAGGAATGATGATGATGATGATGATGATGATGATGATGATGATGATGATGATGATGATGATGATGATGATGATGATGATGATGATGATGATGATGATGGTGGTGATGATGATGATGATGATGATGATGATGATTAGTATGATGATGATGATGATGTTGGTGATGATGATAATGATGATGATGGTGATGATGATGATGATAATGCTGATAATGATGATGATGCTGGTGATGGTGGTGGTCACGGTGATGATGGTGGTGATGGTGATGGTGACGGTGGTGAGGATGATGGTGCTGATGACGATGGATGATGATGGCGATGTTGTTGTTGTTGTTGATGATGATGCTGATCATGATCATGATCCTGATCATGATCATGCTGGTGTTGGTGATGGTGATGGTGATGGTGATGGTGATGATGATGATGATGATGATGATGATGATGATGATGATGATGATGATGATGATGATGATGATGATGATGATGATGATTGATGATGATGATGATGATGATGATGATGATGATGATGATGAGGGGAGGAGGAGGAGGAGAGGAGGAGGAGGAGGAGGGAGGAGGTGGAGGAGCAAGAGGAGGAAGAGGAGGAGGAGGAGGAGGAGGAGGAGGAGGAGGGAGGGGAGGAGGAGGAGGAGGGAGGAGGAGGAGGAGGAGGAGGAGGAGGAGGAGGAGGAGGAGGAGGAGGAGGAGGAGGAAGGGGACGAGGAGGAGGAGGAGGAGGAAGAGGAGGCACGGTTCATGTCGCCTCCTGGTGCCAGACTTCGATGGACACCCTATGGGGCCAGGGTTTGGCTTTTGGCGCAAAAGTCTGCTGTGGCGGATTTCTTGGACCCTGACTTCCTCTTTTTCCTCATCCTGCTGCTGCTTCACCTCCTCCTCCTCCTCCCTCCTCCCTCCTCCTCCTCCTCCCCCACCTCCCCCAATCCTCCGCCTCGTCGTCGCCGTCCTCCTCCTCCTTTTCCTCGTCCTCCTCCTCCTCCTCTTCCTCCTCCTCCTCCGTCCCCCCTCTCTCTCCTTCTGAATTCCTCGCGTCGGAGCCTATTTTCTGTACGCCCTGGCAAGTTTACTCGTAAGGCAGTTCGCCTCATCCCCCCTGAGGAGGAGCAGAAGGAGGATGAGGAGGAGGAGGAGGAGGAGGAGGAGGAGGAGGAAGAGGAGGAGAGCAATACGGAGGGTAGCGAGGAGAAGGAGGAGGAGGAGGAGGAGGAGGAGGAGGAGGAGGAGGAAGAGGAAGGGGAGGACAGGAGGAGCAGAGTGGAGCGAAGAGCGAAGAGCGAAGAAGAGGAGCGAGGACCAGGAAGGAGCGGGGGAGAGGAGCAGGAACGGAGCGAAGCGAAGAGCAGGGATGAGTAGGAAGAGGTTCAGGAGGAGGAGAGGGAGGAGAGGATTTGAAGATTTTGGTGAAGATTTGGATGAAGATTTTGGTGCACATGTGGATGAAATCTTTACCAACATCTCTTCACTCCGACCAGTTTAAACAAGGCTTAATTCTAGACTTAAAAGTTTCACCTCGTGGTCAGGGTAGCAAGTTTTAGATATTGGTTTCAAACTTTTGTGATCCTGATTTCAACATCGCCGATGATGCTTCTGTTGCGACGACATTACTGACGATGCCTGCAACGATCAGAAGTTGTGATGATATGTTGATGCCGACGGAAATGATCATGGTTGTGGTGGCGGCGACGACATGCGACGACGAGGGCGACGATGACAATCACGGTGATGATCGTGATGATGTGGACGAGGAGGAGGGGGAGGAGCAGGAGGAGGAGGAGGAGGAGGAGGAGGAGGAGGAGGAGGAGGAGGAGGAGGAGGAGGAGGAGAGGGAGGAGAACCAGGATGAGGATAATGAGGAGGGTGAGAAGAAGGATCAGGAGGTGATTCTTCAGCGCCTGTCGCCCACTTCGGCATGGCTGTCCCCCCCCACCCACACCCCCCACGGCTTTCCGAGGACGTGGCGCCCGAGCAGGTGTCCATGCGGTGCACGGAGTTCTACGTGCCCCTCTGCCCCTCGATCAAAGAGCCGGGCCTCCGCCCCAGTGAGGCCTCGCCAGACGTCCAGATGCTGGACAATTTGCGACTGTTTTTTTCCCCTCTGGTGCACTTCGCGCGCGGGTTTTCAGGGCTGGGTTTTTTGCGAGGGTTTCTTGCGGCCGCGCCCGCACTGTGCACGTGCAGCCGAAGGAAGAGGAGGCAAAGCGGGCGCCGCAGCGCGGCGTCTTCCAGCCGCCCTCGGGGCCGCTGTCGCCGTGCTCGCCGCGCTGCTGCCGCCGCCGCC